AATCATCTCCTGGCCTTGGCCTTGCTTCCTTGCTTTGAGACTTTGGCCAGATTTCCTATTTGACCCGGGATTCCTAACCATCGGTCCTGCACGCTGGTCACTGCCTGCCACCTCTGTCCCCTTCTGTGGACATTCTACCGTCCTGGGAACCTTCCAGAGCCCAGCTCCCAAGTCGTCCTGATTTTTGATCACTGCTGCCTGCCTGTGACTTTGGCTCCAGTCCTGCTCGTGGGGCTGCACTGGCAACCTTTCTCAGCCCCTGCTCTGTTCTTCCTTCCTGTTCTACTTTCTCTCAGTCTGGAGCCTCAAACCTGAGGCCATCTTGGGTCCGTTTACCCAGTATTCCCTATGTCGGCCCAGGCTGGCTGCTGTGGAGAGCAGCTCTCTTTCTAGGGGCCCAGGGAGTTCACACTTTTTCTGATGTTCTAGAAGTTAGGTTTCATGTTCCTTTCCAGTAGTCTTTTTTTTTTTTAATTTCACAAACTTATTTTTGGCATTCTAGAGGAAGATGCTGATTATTTAAGGAGAGCCCTTTACGTGTGTAGCTTGCCAAGGTAAGATCATGACTTACAGGCATACAAAAGAGACGTGAGGTATTTATTGTGTTGGTTTCCGTACGGTAAACAAGAAAGGCAGGTAGGAAGCTGAATAAATTACGGCCCTTTGCTCAGAGTGGAAGGACTTCGCATTAATATCTGCCACTGGCTATTTTGGGCCTGGAAAAGCTTTTGGGTTTTTTTATTCTGCGCATCCAACGCAGCGCCCTACTGCGTGCTTCCAAGTCCCCGAGGAAGTCAGCACAGACTTATAAATACTAATGTTTCCTCCAGTTCTTACCCGTTGAGCCCATCTGGTCCGTTCTCTCCAAGCTGGCTTTCAGGTGGCTGTGTCAGTTCTCCCATTGTCTTAGCTCCACAGCAGCTTAGGGGCCCTGGGACCTTCTGAGCCTTTTCCAAAAGGCCTGTTTGTACAGAGCTTGTCATCTTGGCTTTAGGCATTTTCCAGAGTTTTTGTTTGTTTGTTTGCCTTTTTAAAAGTATTATTATTATTATTATTATTATTTGCATACAAAGTAGCAGGTGATACTTTAGTACATACTTAGCTTGGATTCCCTTCTTTGGCGAGTTTCCAACTTATCCCTGGTCAGTGCCCCAACTCGCCATAGTCCCGTTGAATTCTTTCCTGTAGTTTTAGGCAAAGCACCCAAACGGGGAGAATTGGGAACTTGACCTGAACTCATGATCCTAGTTCCTCATGGAGCCATGGACCTATCTCTCGTCACTGCAGACCTCCTAGGCCCCGAAGGGAAGAAAAATCCAGGTCTTTCTTCTAGCGCATCCAGTGTGTACTTCTCCTTTCCCTCCAAGTTGTTTCTGTCAGGAACAAGTGCTGAGGGGAGTGACTTATCTCTTGTCGTCTTTCCTGTGTCCTGCTTGAAGTAATAGACTCCTCTTAGCGCCAACCCTTTGGCTTTTACAGATTCCCTAAATCACATGGAATTGTTTTTGTTGTCCAAAACACCAAAAGCTGCCCTTTGGTCTTGTATAGCCAACTGGTGGCTTTGCAATGAATGGGTTTCCATTTTGCTGCCGCTCCTCTGCCCTCCCCCTCCCCCGGAGGCAGCCCGGATGACTCCTCCCTGGTGAATGTCAGTGCTGTGGCTGCCTCCTAGGAATGGCATGTGTTAAGGACTTTGTGGTTTGCCTGAGCAGTCAGGGTTCCCAAGCAGGGGAAGGAGAGGGTGATTTTTGCTTCTTCAAAGGAAAACCTGGTATCTGGTTCCCTGACCAAGATTTGTCTTTGGGGTAGACTTATAGGGGAGCAGAAATGGGCAAGAATTTGGGGGGCAACTATTCCCAGAAAGGGTTTTTCGGTAGCAGAAAATTCATTATCGTCAGGAGCGTTTGTTAGTGTCTCGTGTATACCATCTGCATGAACATAAACAGAAGCTGCAAACAGAGCCTGCCGTTCCGGGAACAGAATGAGGTCTGGCTTCCATCTCCTAGGGGTGTCTGAGAGGAGAACCGGGCCAAAACCCTTAGGGCTTTCTCTTGGGCTCTTCCATGGGAACGAATGGCCTGGAGGTAAAAGTGTGGCTTAGCAGAGAGCCGCTGAGATCCCAGAGAGAGCTGTACCCTACATACTCAAGTCTTCTGCCATGAATTTGCTACTGTTCACTTCTTCCGGCACGTACTCATTCACCAAGTCTTTCTTCACCGGGCTTTGTGTGTGCCAGAGGTGACAGTAGGCAATGGGGTCACCAGAATAACAGCCGGCGTGACCTGTTCTGGGGAGGGGGGGAGTAGACTAGTTGGGCCCTGGCAAAGCTCTGTCACAGATGAGGAAGAATTGGCAGCTGCCCTTCCCTGTTCTCCTTGGGGGGGGTGGCTGTTTGCCTGGGGGTGCTCTGGGGAGGCTTCTTCCTGTGCCAGCTTCAGACCCTCTGCACCACAGATCCCACTCTGTCCCTGACTCTGGATACCATCTTGGTGCTAAGGTGTGTCCATGTGGGAGGGGCCTCAGGGCTGTCCCTCCTATTCAAGCTGCTTTGGAGTCATTAGGCAGAACTTCCTATAACTGGGTCTCCTGGGAAACAGAGGGTTCTGTACTGTGACTCTTAGGTGAAAGTTTATCAGGAGGGGACACTGCCTTCTGCTGAAGGCATCAACACCTCTTGAACCTCCCCAGAGGGAAATGGGGAAAAGGCAGAGTTCTAAAGCGACAGACCAGAGTCTAGTCTTGGTTTTGTCCTTATCTAGTTGTGTGACCCTGGGCAAGTCATTTTACTTCTCTAAGATTCAGGCTCCTCTCTTTGTGCTTTAAAATGAGGATGTGGTTCAGATGAGTTCAGGGCCTTCCCTAGCTGTGAGCCTGTCACTCAAAGTGAATGAATCTCAGGTCCTTTTCTGAGGTGGCCCAGGGCACACTGGGTGCTCAGGAGGTGGGGAGAGGGTGTTAATATCAGGGAGAACCAGATACTGAGGGTATAATAGGCAGAACAAGATGAAGGATCGGTTCAAAACAGGGACTCTGTGTCAGCAACGTGATGGACAAAGGCCCTGCGGTACTGTGGGAATGGCCAACTCACCAATCAAGGTCTGCCTTTCTTTAGACAAATAACATCCAATGAAATCTGTCGTTCGAGGGTGCAAATGCTTTTATATTTTTAAGAGACCAGCCCAGGGGGGCTTGAGAAATGGCTCGGCAGGAAAGAGCACTATCTTCTCTTTCAAAGGCCCTGGGTTTCAATCCCAGCCTTCACGTGGTAGCTCGCAAATGCAGTAGGATATTATTTTAAGATGTACCACATTTGTTTCTGCTGTGGAATATTTGTCTAATGATGCAAAAATGTGTTGCATTCTTTTATGTTGCATTTGTTTAACTCTGTAAGGCTGTGTTACTTTGCCTGTATAAAACACCTGATTGGTTTAATAAAGAGCTGAATGACCAATAGCTAGGCATGAGAAAGGATAGGCAGGGCTGGCAGGCTTAGAGAATAAATATCAGGAGAGAAAAGAAGAGGGAAGAACGAGAAAAGGAGGAGAGGAGGGAGCCAGGGGTCAGCCATTCAGCTGTGGAGTAAGAAGGAAAGAAAGGTGTATAGAATAGAGGCAAAAGGTAGAGAGGGTAATTTAAGTTAAGGAAAGTGGCTAGAAACAAGCCAGGCTAAGGCCGGGCATTCATAAGTAAGAATAAGTCTCTGTGTATTTATTTGGGAGTTGGGTGGTGGGGCCCCTAAAGAGTTAAAGCAGCAACAATAACAAGTAGACACAACTGTCTGTAACTCCAGTTCAGGGGATCTGGCACTTTGCTCCGGCCTTCAGGGCACTGCGCCCACACCGTGCATGGCCATACATGCAGACGAAACACCTTTACCCACCAAATAAAGTGAAAATTAAGAATCAATAGGGCCAAGACCCTGGTAGGGAAGCAGATGTTACCCTCCGAGGTGAAATGGAGAGTGTGTCTCGTATTCATGGATAAAATTAACTCCAGGTCTACCCTTCTCTTGGGTCTGGACCGAAGAAACTGTATGAGGAGGACAGGTAGCCCCAAACATGGCCTGTGAGTAGTTGAACTCTGACAGCAGAGAACCCTGGTCCAGTAGCTGTCCATCTCCCCTTCCTGGCCTATTTGACCTCCACAGAGAGACAGGAGAAGTTGGGAGGATTGAAACACATGTTCATTGCCTGCCCACTACCCTTGATTTCTAAGACTGTAAAGATTGGTTTTTATGGACCTGGGACAGAGAGGTGGGAAAAGTAAGAACTTACTTCCCTTCCCACGCTGGGATGTGTGAATGGCTTTATTTAGAATGCCCTATACAAGGCTGTTTTAAGGCTATGAAACGCTGACCTCCATGTTGCAGTGCCTGCTGGCTCCTAATAGCTGGTCAGTAATTGGATGGATGGAAGGATAAAGAGTGAATAGTTAGATGGACGGGTGGGCTGGAGGACTAGATGTTTAGATGTTCTTGGCAGACAGACTTTCTTCCCTTGTATCTGCTTGGAAATGACTATGTCTTACCCATAAGATTTCCTCAGCAAAGGGAAGGAAGAAATAAGAATTCCCTGGGCGCTGATCCCCCTTTATGCCCTTTCAAGTTTGCGTCTGTCTTTCCTTGTATGGGGCTCTGAGAGTAGAGAGATCTTTAAGGACTTTCCTGGTGGTGCGTGGAGCGAGTGCATGCAAGTTCACTCCCTCTTCTTTAGCCCAGTCTGTTCCTTGGGCATCGGACACGTACACAGTCACCTTTCACTCTGCTTAGGTTCATCTTGTATTCATGGCGTCTTCGCAAGTGTGCAGAGTAGGATGTGTGATTTGAGGGGAGGCACCACGCCAGACCAAAAATAGCTGCCTCTTGAACAGGTGCGAAGGTGCTTGAGATTCCTCTGTTGTCTGTGCGCATGCGGTGTCTCCAGAGGCCGCCGCTGCTGCTGAGGCCTCGTCCGCCAGCTTTAGCGCAGAGCCCCCAGGAGTTATCTTTCTGCCTCTGCAAGGGATTCTGGTCAGGTCTGGTGTGGTGGGTGGGGCGACTACGGGCAAGCTGGAGCCGAGCCAGTGCCAGATAAACGTTGCCTACAGTTGGATGGATGGCCTTCGTGTGAGTCAATTGGCTGAGTGTCCCTGTATCGCCAGGACTTGGGGCTTGCAGGCAGGAAGAACAGCCGGGAGGAGAAAGGATTCAGGGCAACCCTGGTGAGGAAAGGATGGGCCCTGGCCATTCACAGAGCCTAGTCTTTTCATGCTAACCTGCTCCTCCTGCCTTTCTCCAACCCCTCCAGGCCGGCCTGCCACTTCTCCTGCTATGATGCCTGGGCAGATCCCAGACCCTTCAGTGACCGCAGGTTCTCTACCAGGGCTCGGCCCCCTCACCGGACTTCCCAGCTCTGCTCTGACCACAGAGGAGCTGAAATACGCTGACATCCGCAACATTGGGGCCATGATTGCGCCCTTGCACTTCCTGGAGGTGAAACTGGGCAAGAGGCCCCAACCCGTGAAGAGTGAGGTGAGATCCTTGTTCCGCAAAGCCCGGGTTTCCAGGTTTGGTTCTAAACACGCCTTGGAACCTTAGCTGTGTTCTTCAGTGCGTGGTCTGAGAACCGGAAGGAGGGACGGGGACTTCACCCCAGCCCTGCTGGGTCAGAACCTGTATTTTTACCTAGCTCTGTGGGTATTCATGCATGTGTTCAAGTATGAGCCGCACTGGGCTAGGGCAGGAGGCTCCCCCTGCCTGTGGGTCTAGGAGGTGAAAGGAGTACGATGCTAATCCTACTTAGTGGTCTCTCCAGGGTACTGGGAGGATCAACAGAAGTCATGGAGATGTGCACAGGTTTTGAAAAGCATAGAGGGCATCGCGTTCTTTTTCAAAGTCAGCGTCCATGGTCATATCACCGCTTCTACCCCTTTTGGCTCCCATCTGGAGCTGAACAAGGGAAGTTAGGGGGAAAAAGAGTGGAGCCTTCCTCTTTACGCTGCTGCAGAGATAGGCATGTCTTCAGTCCCCAGCACCATCTGCCTGAGATGAGGTTTGCAGAGGACTGACTCATGGAAGCACCCCCTTCTGAGGTCTCCTGCACCTGCTGCCTGCTCTCAGGACCCACTTGTGTCAGGACAGCTGTTCCCCAGTGACTGGTGAGAGGCAACAGTCCCCAGCATGGTTACCAGCGGTTACCAGTGTGTACCAGGGTGGTGCATGCCTCACCCAGAGCGGGTGATTTGGTTTGTCCGAAGGCTTATCTGGTGAGGGTTCCTGCCGAGCTGTGCCTTCCAAAAATCCACCACCTGGAAGGAGCCAGGGGTAGGATGTAGAGGTAGCTGGAGTGGGCCGGGAACAGGCAGTCACCAGGCATCATGCGTGTGTGGTCCTGCCTGGAGGAAGCGTTCATACGCTAAGGTGAGCCTCAGTGGAGACTCAGAGCTTGGAAGCTGGAAACTGTGGAGACGGGGATTTGGGATGGAGGAAGGTGTCAGGCTGCGCATGATGTGCGTTGACTGGGTTTTTGTTCTCCGCGTCCGCTCTCTCCACATGAGTACCCAAGAGCTGCAGAGAAGGGTTTCTGGGGGCTTGCCCTGGGTAGCAAGCTCGCTCTTTGCAGGCTGGCGTTGGCTTTCAGAGGTGTTTGCTTTGGCCTGCTCAGTGTTTTCAGAGCAACCCAACCCGATATTTCACTTAAAATTTTCAGCAAAAAAATTTGGAAAATCTGGTTGCACGCTGCTCCAGTCCCAAAGGCTAAATGGGTGGAGAGAGCTGTCTCACTCTTGATTACCGTAGACCCTGCTGCCTCCTTAGGACCTTGGCTCTGCTTTTTCCGCTGGTTTTACCATCTTACCGCCAGTTGTTTTTCCCCACCATTACATGGTCCCTCCTGGAGTCTCTGGGCTTGAGACACCGACCTGGATTAAGGACATCACCAGTGTCTACTTTAGTGTCTACCAAAGACTACTGATTCCAACATGGGAACTGACTGACTACGTTCTTCTGCCACAGAAGACCCTTGTCTTTGGCCCTCTGCTTCTCTCCTTCCTAGGCCCATTACCTGAAAGTGGTTCTTTCCTGGGTTTTTCTCTTAAGAGAGTTGCTAACTGAACAGTGTCATTGAACTTTGAGGCCGTGAGTAGCTGTGACCTGCCTGGGGTGCAGCATTTTCCACTTCTCACCTCCCCCAAAGACCTTGGAGGAGCTTCCCTTTTTTGGAGGAGAAAAAGACCCATTTTGGGGTTGGGTATTTTTGCATTTCACAGCCGCCCCCAGACGGGTGGCATATGCCCTGTACTTGATAGTGACGCTCTGTCCTCACAGGCACCCACAGACATGTACCATCCAGGCCGTGAAGATGACAGGCTGTTTTTAGGGCGTATTTGCATGTCCTCCAGCTCACCGGCAGGCTCAGCACGGTGGGGGCCGAGGCAGCTGAATTACTCCTCACCAGGGAAGGCCAGCCGTGCCCCGAGAACTGACTTCCAGATGTTGCCTAGGTCAGACAGCGGGGTCAGACGCTCTTTCTTGGAGGACCGATGACCTTGCAGCTGATGGAGCTGTGCGGAAGACCTATCTGTGTATGGCAAACGGCCTCTGTGCATTTTCTCAAGGGCATTTTAGACTCACACAACTACCTGCAATGATGCTAAGGTGCCAGTTCACACTGATGAACTGCGCCCGGCTCTGTGCGGGGTTCTTAACACGCTTGATCTTTCTCTCCTTACCTCATCCTGGTGACCCATGTCCTCCCTGTGGCAGAGAGCAGGGATTTGAGGTTGAGCAGGCAGGTGAAGTGACTGGAGAGCATGCTGCTGAACGGTGGCGAGCCAGGTCCTAGATGTGGTGACTTGTGGCTGTCTCACAGCTCTCTCTCCCTCGCCCCAGGTCAGTCAGCAGGTGTAGTACCAGTCATTCTGTGAGGTTTCTGGTTTGTCTCGCAGGCCCCTGTGAGGTCATTCTCTATCTCCTTCTCCCTCTTCCCCTCTCTGTGAAGTCCTGGGTGTGGATATGGGTGCTTTCCTGTCATGGCTGGCATGCAGAGATTAGAGGACAACCCAGTATCCATCTCTCACCTTCCATCTTGAAACAGAGTGGTTGTTGGTTTTTCTGCTGCGTATGTCAGGCTAACTAGCTCCACAGCTTTGGAATATTCTCTGGTCTCCATTTCTCATCTCCCCACAGGACAGACACTCAGGCTACGTGCACATATTCTCCGAGAGTTCAGGGGATTCCGTCTCAGGTCCTTACACTTGTACGAGGTGCTTTTACCTACTGAGCCTTCTTGTCATCCCTGAAGTCATGGCTGCTATTATGTAATGGTTACAGGAGAGGTCTACAAGGCTCAGTGAGGTCCAAGGTCACCCGCTAGGAGAAGAGCAAACCAGTGTGACTTTGGGGACAACAGATCTAACCTTAGCCAGTGCTGTTCCCATGCCCCATGTTTCTGCGAGGACTTTGAACTCTCTCGGCCCAAGGAGGCCGGATACACCGAGCTCTAATGCACTCATCCATCCAATGGCAGTTCAGCAGTGACAATGTCTCAGGGTCCCAAGGGAACAAGGGTCAAGCCACAAAAAAGAAGGCAATTCACTGTGCAGGCAGCTCTGTCAGAGTTGGCTCTGGGGCCGTCTGTCTTGTAAAGACCAATGGTCTCCTGGGCCGCATCCAAACACACACAGCAGTTCAGTTAGAGAAAGCAGTTCAGTTAGGAATTAAGCAACAGGTTATGAATTACAAAGTGCTTTGTGCTGATACTGCTGTTAATGGCTGACATGATATTAAAATGCTCTGGGGCCAATTCCTTGCCTGTGGTCCATCCACTGAGTATCTACTACATTGCCAAACAATGTGCTGTGCCCCGAGGCCAGAACTATCAATAAAGGAGATAGACTCCTCCTCTCATTCGAAGCTATCATCGTGAGCTCAGCCAAAAAAGAAGGCAATTCATTTGTAGTTTTAAAGATCAGGTAGCGATCAAGTCAGTCCCATCTGTTGAGATAGCATGGTGCTCATTCTGGTGACAGGCCAGGGCCTCTAGGGACATTCTGTCCTGTTGAAGATTTCGGTGTGTGTGTGTGTGTGTGTGTGTGTGTGTGTGTGTGTGTGTGTGGTGTTTTAACAGCCGATGTTTCTTTCTTGACTCTACCTTCTTTTCAAGGCAACAATGCTTTCTAGAAGACGCTGGCCGTTTCCTCCTGTTATTTCAGGATCCCCTGATGTCCAGCTAGCCCTTTCTGACCTGGAGACTTCGACTCTGCTACGGTGGGCAGCTGGGACCTGGTGGCCTCACCCTCGCACACTCAGCCACACACCAGGCATGCACTCACACTCGTGGACAGGACCGCCACACCCCGCTACTGCACTGCAATGGGAGCTTAAGGGATCAAAATGAGACCCTCCAGGATAGAGGCTGGAAACCATTCGGCTGGGCTGGGTATCTACCTGCAGACTGAGTCTTATTGGTGCTGTTAAATATCTAAGCAGTTAGTGATCTCCTTCCCTCCTCTGCCCTTCCCTTCCCTCCTCCTCCTCCTCCTCCTCCTCCTCCTCCTCCTCCTCTTCCTCCTCCGTCTCCTCCTTTTATTTTGTTATTTTTTTTAATACTGGGGTCTCCCTAAGTGGCCCAGGCTTGAACTTATGAACCTCCTGTCTCAGCTTGCTAAGAGGCTCCCTGCTCAGCTGTGTGTGTGTGTGTGTGTGTGTGTGTGTGTGTGTGTGTGCACGCGTGTGTGGTTTCTCCCTAGCCCCTGCAGGCCTGCCCCCTTCTATGTACAAGGACTTTCCGTGTCGCTTTGTCTCGCTCTGCACTTTGTCGTCTTGCTCTGGTCCCCTTCTCACGCTGCTCACGGGCGGACTTTCCAGTCTGTGCTCTGGGTTCAGGTGCAGGGGTGGTGGGTCCCACCCCTGCTTATTGGGCTGGTTGCTATTAACTGGCAGCTTGGCAAGGTACTGGGATCTCTTCTCACTCATTTTCTCCTATCTTCCAAGTCTTACCTTCCCTAGTTTGGCAATTTCTCAATTTAAATGAGGGTGAGGGAGGGAGGAAGGGGGAGAGAAAAGAAGGAGGAGAGGGAGGAAGGTGAAGAGGGAGGGGAAAGGGGAGAGAGAATGAAAGAGAGAGAGAGAGAGAGAGAGAGAGAGAGAGAGAGAGAGAATAGGAATCAAAGTACCATTCTTAAACTTGGTGGATCATCCACATAGCTTGGGAAGCTTTTTCAAGATCCCCCCTTTTCATTCCCTGCCCAGCCCCCTGGGATGCCCTGGGTGTAGAATTTAGGGCCTCTGCACACTTAGCAGACTCTGTGCACACTCACATCTCTTGGGGAAGGTGACTCTCAGGCATCCACACCTCCGACATTCATATGTACTTCCCAAATTCAGGGCAGGGTCCCCTTGTCAGTTTCCAAGCAAGACAGGAAATCTGCTGCTGGCAGATCTCACACTGGTAGCTTCCCACCGTCTCCAGGGCCCTATGGGGGCATTTTGAAGCTTTCCCCACTGGGTGAAGGTGAATTGGAATCTTCTGG